TTTTTGTATTTTTAGTAGAGAAGGGGTTTTACCAAGTTGATCAGGCTGGTCTCAAACTCCTGACCTCGTGATTCACCCAGCTCAGCCTCCCAAAGTGCTGGGATTACAGGCATGAGCTACCACACCCGGCCTGGCTTCTGTTTTTACTGTTGAATTATAAGAGATAATTCATGTAAATGATTTGTTTATGGTTCTATATACAGTAAGTACGAAATAAATTCTAGCTATCATGTCTAATAACCATCCTTATGTCCTTAGATTATATGTCACTAAGTGATACGAGCTGTACTTTGTGATTCAATGGTGAATTACAAACACCAGACACGGAGCGTTGCAGAAGGATGTAGTAAAAGATGGCTTACATCTGTCTGGGAAGTATTTTCTTGAAACATTCTTAATAATCACATTCCATTTTGGTAAGGAGTTTTTCTTTAGAGGTCAAGACAAGCTTGGCAAGTTTTCATGAATTCCTGGGCTCTGCAGAGAGAAGTCCTGCATGCAGGTTTAATTGATTGCAGTAAAGAATGTGGCCTTCAGAGAATTCTCTTCTGCATTCCTCCAATTTGCCCGGACCTCCCTTCTGAGCTGCAGAGGCTCCTGTGTCTCATGTGTCCAGTTGCCTGAGATGTCTCTACCAGGTGTCACACAGGCACCTCAGTCAGGCCGACGTAGTCACAGAAGGACTCAGCGTCTTCTATCCAAACGTGCACTCTTCCTGCCCCGTCTCAGGAAAGGGCCCTGCCATCTTCTCAGTGGCCAGAACCAGAAACTGGAGTTCTCTTCCCACTGTCACTTGACGAGCCCTTTGGAGGTCCACATGGACATGACCGGGTAGTGGTTGGACTCTCCGCCTGACTCGATGGTGCTCTGCAGTGCTGGGCACCTGAACGTGGTCTGCTTCTCCCACCCTGAGCCCTTGGGGTGTGATGGTCCAGGGCCTTGGGATGCCCCTGTCTGGACTTTTCCCCCACCCTCTGCCTTCTTCCTGGCGACCCTTACTCATCTCTGATGTTCTAGTATGTGTCATTTCCTCCAGGAAGTCTTCCCTGATCACCAGCCTAAGTCAGGTCAGGGCCTCCGTGTCTCTCTCAAGACTCTTCATCACTGCACTTGACACAATCCACTCAGGAATGATCTATCAACATCTGTCTCCCCCACTAGCTTGCAAACCCCGGCATGGCCATCCTGTTTCTCTGCATCTTTAGTTCCTGGGCCAGTGTCTGGAACATACCAGATCCTCAATACTGATTTTCCAAGAGTTGAAAAATAACTTCATTTGTGTCTGTGTGGTAGGCAGGATTCTACAATGGTCCCTAAGATCCTTGTCATCTAGTGTATGTGCCTGGGTGGTTTCTTCCCCTTGAATGGGGGTGGCACCTGTTATTATGATGGACAGATCCTTCCCATGGGCAGGTTGTGCCATGTGGCAAAGGTGAAGGGCTTGTGCAGGTATCATTGAGGTCCCAATCACTTGACTTTCAGTTAATGAAAAGGAAAGTTTCCCAGTGGGTTAGGTTTAATCAGATGTGTCCCTT